TCCACACTGTGTTATCTCTGACTCCAGCATCTGCAGTTCTTACTATCTCTACAACAGTAAAGGTATTTATTTCAAATACAATTAGAAATATTAGAGGAGAGATGAGGATGACAGGAGCCTGGAATTCACTGCTCAAAAGGGTACTAGAGGCAGAAATCTGATCCAGACATCCATTTTTAATTGAGTCACGTTGCCTTAAGTGCCAAAAACTGTAGACCTATGGGTCTATTGCCGAAAAGTGAGATTTGGCTGGATGGCTGACTTTTTGCCTGGCATAACACAATGGGCTAAGTGGCCTCTTTCTATGCTGTAAATATGACAGCCATTGCCTAGACATTTCATGGAATCACTACAACAGAATGCATTCTGTTTTATTCAACAGCTGCTCCACATCAACACAGAACATTTACTTACCAGTATAAGAGTCTGAAGGCGATATTAGTTTACAGGATGTACAAGTTTTGATACCCTCTTGGATGCGTGTGGTGACAGATTTCTCTGTTGCATTGGAAGAAAGTGCAAAAATATTGTCTAAAAAGGCATTAACACTTCCTTTTCTGAAAAGACAAAGAGCAGCAAATGAGAATGAGCATATACACATACAAAAGGCTCCATAGTTAGTCAACTCATTGTTTACACCATTTACTTGGCCACAGATTAAGGTGACAATCTATATTTCTCATTTATAATTACTTTTAGAAGTGCAAATCTGGCAAATTAAATGTTTACATGAAAGGTTGTCAAACCTCTAGAGGTAGGAAAGTGCAAGACCACCTAATATATTTCTTTCAAAACCCTTGTCATGTGCACCTTACTGGTCAAAGGTGGGAAGGTGAATGTCATAAAAACAGAACTTGACCTTCATTTTGCTGGGAAATTATAAAAAAGAAGCCTGAGAAATCTTGTCCGAATTTCATTAGAAATTTAAACTAGTTCTGTGGACCTCAGACATTTTGCTTTGAAACCAAGAGTTAATTAATATAAATTTATGTTTGGAACATTCCAGGAATGCCATGTTGCCCTGGAAATATGTTGCCTTCATGTGGGGTTTATCTGTGTGTTTTGCTCTGAAACAAGCAGTTCAACTTTGAGAAGTCAGAAGATTTGGTCTTTGAGCTGGAAGCAACTAACTTCATGTGGAAGCCCAAAGTTCAGAGGCAAAGGAAAAGGATTTGTCAAGAGTTATGCAGCAGTTGTGGGCCAGGAGAATACAGACAGTAGAAATCAGACAGGTTTATAGTTATGTGTAAGTTCACATGTCGGGATAATGAAAGAAGTTCAGACTTCAGCTGGAAGATCTGGTGTTACTCCCAATAAAGTGGACAATTTTTAAGAATCTGACAAATAGCTAAGGACTTTCTGGGAGATTTATAGTGGAAAAGGGAAGGTTCAGCTTAAGCTTTTAGCCCTGAGTCTTTATGGCTGTATTTCATTGTGCTTTCAAAAGTAAAGTACAAGTAAATACCTAAGGTGGTGTTTACTCGGACATTTTACATTAAAACAAATTAGCTTTACTTATATTTTGTAATCTATGGAATACTGTAACTTAATTATCCAAGTAATGTGTATTTCAAATTTATCTTTTTCAGAAAGTAAGACCAGTCCCTATAGGGATCATAACTATGGCTTCAGCTTGCTAATTAACTCAATTCTATTTCCAAATTCAACCAGAATTTTCAAAATTTACATTCTCAGGGTACACCTACTTGACTCCCTTCTGGAAGTGCATACTTTCATCACGTGAATGCAAAATGAAGGTTTGCTCTGAAGTCACTACAAGTGTCAGAGATGATGGAAAATACTTCAGAAGTACAGCCACTGGAATGTAACTGCACTTGAGCCTGGTACATGGAGTCACAGAGTCACACAGCACAGAAACAGACCTTTCAGTCCATCCAGTCCATACCAAGCATAATCCCAAACTACAGTCTCACCTGCCTGCTCCCGGCCCATATCCTTCTAAACCTTACCTATTCCTGTATTTATCCAAATGTCTTTTAAATGTCATAATTGTGTCCACTTCCTCAGGAAGTTCATGCCACATGTGAACCATCCTCTGTGTAAAAGATTTGCCCTTCCCATCATGCCTTTTTTAATGTCTCTCTCCTTTCACCTTAAAAATGTGCTCCCTAGTCTTGAAAGCCCCAGCCTAGGGAAAAGACACCCACCATTAATCCTGAGATAGTGGGAACTGCCGATGCTGGAGAATCTGAGATAATGAGATGTACAGCTGAATGAACACAGCAGGCCAAGCAGCATCAGAGAAGCAGGAAAGCTGACATTTCGGGTCTAGACCCTTCTTCACCATTAATCCTATCTGTACCCCTCATGATTTTATAAACTTCTACATAAACTAATATTTGTCTTGACAGCAAAAATTGAGAATTGCACGAAGGGAAATTACATGAATCATTGCATCAACATGAAATAGTATCTTTTGTTCTGGAGGGAAATGAGAAGAAGTAGTAACCAAGAGCAGTGGGTGCCAAGACAGAAAGGGGGAATTTCAGTTACAGTCCATTCTCTAACTCAGTCTGTGTTTAGATGCAACAGATCCAAACTCAGTAATTCAAGCTGGGCCCGGTTGTTCAGATTAGGAAATAACTTCCTAGCTGCTGGTGCAGTACAGTGATTGGAAGGTTTCTTTTCTCAGTTTAAAACATGCTGGCATTCCTGATTACCATTGGCTTGTATTTATATTGCTTGACAGCTTTTATTTGTTATTTGTTATATTTCATAATATTTATTTGGAAACCAGGTTTTATATTTATATTGCAGTCTCTCAAGTCTCTCCAAGCTCCAGTGCTGACGATTGAAGCTTGGATGAATTCCCAGGTTATATATCTTCCACCAATGAACACACTCCCCAGTTCTAGCCAGTTTTACCTTCATTCGCCCTCAAGCAGCATAAGTCATTAACAATATTGAAATTTTGAAACAACGTTGTGGTCCAACCTAGGTTTTGTTGCAACTCCACCATAGCAAATGGAAAAAATTCCACTGAAAATCAAACATTGCTAAATTGTCCACATTAGAACTAAAAAGGCTATTTGAAATAAATAGACCATTCATCTGAAGATAATGGATGTTGACATTTCTATGTACAAGCAGGCTTGTCTGTAACCAGTAGCTTTGACATTAAGAATTTATTTTATTTTGCTAGTGTACACAATTTGAAGTAAATGGAGGGGAAAGGTTTAACAGCCTGAATTTCTGATGCCTGAAAAACAGTTTTGATTATCACCTACATGTAATGTCAAGTGAACAATTTTTCCATTCACAAATGAGGTGAGCCATTTAAACGTCAGCACATTCTCAAGAATTCTCCATGGACTTGACTTAAGCACCAGCACCAATCTAAGCCAATTGGCAGGCTGCAGGCATATGATGCAGTGTGTGTGCACCAGGGCGGAGGCCTTCACAATGAAACAATACAAAGACACATCGCAAACCTATGCAAATTCACACACTGTCTAAAAGAACCAGGCTAAACTGCGTTGATTCGGAGTCTTTTTGTATCAGCAAGTCAGCAGTATGATGCTGTGGGGTGGCATGGTGGCTCAGTGGTTAGCACTGCTGCTTCAACACACCAGGGACCCAGGTTCGATTCCAGCCTCAGGCTACTGTCAGGCATTTGCATATGGGCTTCCTCCGGGTACTCCACTTTCCTCCCACAGTCCAAAGATATGTGTAGGTTAGGTGGATTGTGCAGGGTAGGTGGATTAGCCATGGGAAATGCAGGGTTACAGGGAGAGGGTAGCTGGCTGGGTCTGGATGGAACACTCATCAGAAGGTTGATGAGGACTTAATGGGCTGAATGGCCTGCTTCCACACTGTAGGGATTCTAGAATTCTATGGTTATATCCAAGTCAATAAAATGATTACAACGTTCTTGAGATTGAACACAAACTACACATTAGAATGAAGTCTAAGGCCAACATCTCCCCTAGTTCTTTCATGAGCATTTATACCATTATTATCATCCACGTAGGCGTGTAATTTTACAACATGCATCCACTCAACAATTACTGTCTACCAATTCAAAATCAACAGCAAAATCCTGGAAAACATGATTCATTTTCTACATCTTGATATTGAGGCCAAACACAGACAGCTTTCATTAGAAAGAGTGCACAAGCCTACGAACAATTTATCTACCTGACCCATCAAGCACTGATTGCCCAGACCTGGAAGAGTTTGCAAATTCCACTTTGAAATTATCAACCATCTCAGAACCCAACAAGCCAGAGTGGAAGCAAATCATCCTCAATCCTGAGGGACTGACTAAGAGGTGTCCCTAGTTCTTTTCATTGTTCAACTATGCCTGCGTTTTATGGTTTAAAATATTATTCATAACATTTCTTAGAACAATCTAAGGACAATAGCTGCACTGAAAATGACTTGAAGTGAATAAACTGAACGAAGGGATTAAAGAAACAAAGAAATCAGAAACATACAGGGATTCAATATTACTTTGTGTGGTCAAAGAGTCTCAACTCCCAGATTCCGCAACTGATGGATACTGGAGAACACACAACATCTTATAACTGCAGAAGCATTCTGATTTAGTTGGGAAGATTCCTCAGCCTTTCATTGGAATGTTAATTGCTTATGATGAGCTTCTTTTAGTTTTATTGTATTGTGTGTTTCTTCCTTATGTTAGCAGTAGTATCAAAGGGCAAATTATTCAGCTTATTATTTAGTGACTGAGAGGTAACTCACACTTACTGGGCCATTACATAGTTAAACATGCATTTTCAAGCTGAAGACAGGATCTAGCACATGACCAGGAGTTACCCAGCAATTAAATACGGATACTTACCCAAGCTTCCGAACAACAGATTTGTAGAAGGAACTGTCATCTTTAAAAAGACCCTCCATCTAACAACAGTAGCAAGAAGGGGAGAAATCAAAAAGAAGTTTGAGGAATCATGTCAATATGCATGTCTCAGTTTTTAAGCAATGGCACTTTCACACCATGTTAAAATAAGTTTCACAGTAGTTGCTAAAGAAAAGTTGAGGGTTACAATGCTGTTCAATTGTTACTACAGTTAGCGGCAGTGGTGGGAGATGAAAAAAATACGTACGCCATAAGAAAATGAGAAACAAGTACCACTGAACCATATGGCTAAGCATAACTCTGTACAAAATTACTTGAGGAAAGAAATGAAAGTCAACTAGAACACAAAGGATCCCCTTCTGCTGCAAAAGGATACATGGTCATACACTGCAGTAGACAGCATTTCTAACAAAAAGGTGCAGATTGCAGGCACCAATTCTCCATGTTTTCTCCCAATCTATGCATTGACAACAAAGGTTTTTTTGTCCAATAAAGGCTGTTGTTCAGTGGATCAATGACAAAATCAGCATGATATCAGCCCCCTCCCCTTAGTAGAGCTGAACTAAACTAGGAGAGGCTAGCTAGCAGCATCATTTAAACATAGTGGTAGATACAATTTACTTGCTTTCGCAATTGGCACTATTTGCTCAGGACTTCAGGACAAGCCTCACAAGTTTTCAATGATTACAAGTTGTCCAGCAAGTCATGCTGAACAGACCGAAAATTTGGAGTTCTTCCACAACTGTAGAAAAAGATCCTAACATGAGATTTAACGTGGAATATTTCCACCCCATTAGGAGAACAATTGCCCAAAACCAGAGATTTCCTCAGACATTAAATCAGAATTGCTGCGTTGTGCAGGAGATTAGTATGTTAGTTATGACTAAGTAGATTGCTGGATTGTAACTAACCTCTTTCGCTATTTCTTTTGCTGTGTCAGAAAATGCCTTTGTGTTTGTTTCTTTCATGGCATCCATAAAAGTGATATTTGTTAAGTGCAAGATTCCTGGGAAGATTCTCGCTATAAAGAGAGATAGAGACAAAACATTGGCATATTGACCATGTAGCCTGGACAATTAGTGTAAGGATTCAATCACACCAAAAAAGCCATAAGGCAAACAGATGCCTTCCTGTCGTCTGGTTTGATTCCACGAGGAAGAGAGAGATTATGGGCTGTGAATTCCTGTTATTGTCATTTTCAGTTTGTCAGCCAACATAATCCAAAAAAAACTCACTCACAGAATGGAGTAGGAAAATATTCTACAAATAGATACTGACTATTAAAAGTGTACAATTATAACTAAGAGAAAATAACTCAGTCACAGTTAACAACAGTGAAAGTTACTGCAGAAGTAAAGAAGCATCCAGAGGTCTTAAAGAGATAATGACAAAATGGACTATAATGGAAATGCAAATATGTTATTAGCAAAACTGTCTGTGCAAAGGGTTTCTCAGTCAATATGGAAAACAGAAGTTATTTTATTTATAAATGTGTGTTTCTATAGCACCTTTTGTCTCCTAAGGTTACTCTAAAGGGCACTGCATCCAAGTAATGACATCTGCAATGTAGGCAAATGCAGCAAACAAACTGTTTTGGTGGTGTTAGTTGGAGGAAGGTGGTTAGGCAGCAAACCAGGATTTCATTGCTGTTTAAAATACTGCGAGAGAACAGGGGACAGTTCCTGTTCAGGTTGGGTAAAGATTGAATCTGAAGGACAGCACCTTTGACAATGTGGCAATCCAACAGTGCACAAGAGTGTCATCCTTCGATCAAGATCGTCATGGACTCTGAACTCTCAAAATGTCAGACTGAAAGTGGGCATTCTTCTACTGAACTAGTTATTGAAGATATTATAAAGGTAACTATTCAACTTCCAGTATTAATTACAATAAAATTACAATCAACACAAGGCTGCCTTTCTCCACAAGGTCAACCCAGTTTGACAAGTGGATAAAAGAAAGTATTTAATGCACACAATAAACATTATGCCAGATTATGAAAGAGAGTCTTTGGAGACCCATTTCCCTTATTTAATCCACTTTCTCTTGATACTAGGCACTCCTCCATGTATAGAGGTGGAGAAAGTTGCTGGGGGTCCCATACCTGTAATTTTGTTTACCTATCCCCAACTTTAATCAGTCTCTACGCGTGCAGCAAGGAAAGACATGTATACACACAAACCCAAGGAAACACCGGCAAAGACAGATTGGCTTAAAGGAGTTACCTCAGTGAAAGACTTTAGCTCTTGTTGATCTGTATGTTGAGGACAGCCAGTGGTCAAAAATGAGGGCAAGTGTAATTATTTCTTAGTTAAAACTGTTGACTCTATATCCACCATGCAGACTATTACAGATGAACTTGGAGCAGTTGCTATCCAATAGTAAGCAGGAAATATTCTTGTGCGTCTTCAAAATTACCTCCATGTTAATAAAGACGTTAACAATGATTGTGGCAGTAAGTCGTGCACAATCACTCAAACAGCTATTCCACAATATAAAAACACATTTAATGTAATCCTAATAAGTGAAATCTTAAGCTGCTTTTAGATTAGAGTGCTGCGGTCATTAGTATTAGTATTAAGGAATCTTGGCAAATTTCTTCTTTACTGAGACAGACCAGCATATCAGGGGTTAAACACCACTGTATTGGGTCTTATGTTAATAAAAAGTAGCATATGTGAATCAAGAGTTTGATGTAAACATTATCATAAAACAATAGGATTGACAATTTTCTTTTTACCTGGCACACAGCTATTTTCTTTCTCAAAGAGTCCAGGGGAGCATTGACACTTATACGACTGAAATAGATTCACACAAGTACTGCTAGGAGGACAGACTGCATTTTTGCAATGATCTGGAAATCAAAATAGTACATACTGAAATTGTTATTTATTTGTTTCATTACAGACCTATTTGGCAAAGTAACATCACATATGATTTGAAATGTACTGAACACAATGAATCAAAATTTTGGATTAGAAGAAACTTACTACTTATTTCTTACAGTGTTTAAAAAATGTAATTCTAGCGTTGGTCATGATCACCAATGGAGATTAACAATAGGATTTAGATTTACCCAAGCTTCAAGCCACCCCATTGTCAACTGTAGCTACACAACCTGTGTGTACAATGGATGAACAAATTTCGCAAGGAATCTCCCCATTTGCTTCATCAGTCATTTAAATCAAATTGCGGACTTGGCTAAAAAACAATCTGTATTGTGACCAATGCATGATGATATGACAGTCTGACAACTGTTACACCAACTCCAGCTCAGACCCCTTCACTGCTGACCATATGGATAATTCTGATTCCTACGAAAATTTGAAAAGACATTTCATCTTCTTTATTCTATTAAAATTAAAAATTCATCTTCTGTATCCTTGACTAGCTGAAGTCTGAGTTGAATAAAGCGTGAACATAGCTTTTTATCCAAGACCTGGGACAACACGTTGGACATAAACTTGCACAACTCAAGGGCATGGCTCTTCTCTGTAATATTTTGTAGGAAAATATTTGACCTGGTCAACATCTTGATAAGCTAGAAGCTACAATTAAGGAAACTTCCATTTGTACATTAAATACAGGTGAAATGATAAAGTGTATGGAATAACTGAGAATGCAGAAAATTTCTAAAATTGCAAAATAATTATGGGTGTCGTAGACTTTTCAGTTATTCTTCAAATATAAAGGGTCTTCCAAATGTTCCTCTTTCTTTTCTTAAATGGTTCCAGAGTTTTGCACCATTACTTTAGCTGTTTATTCCACGTTCTTATCATCTAAAAAATGTACTGATAACAGCTGTCATGTACTAAGTGTTCACACAAACTGCCTGGCAGCAGAAAGTTAAATCACTTTACTGAGCAAGATGGAAAACTGAGGTGTTCAAATCTGTAAATAAATCAGGTGCTTATTTAGACAACAGACACTCTTTCACAACAGTGACAACACAAGCACTAATGGAAAATTCCACTTTCCATCAGACTCCAAGATAGGTTTATAAAACCAAAATGCCAATATCTCCTTCATTGGCATTGATCTCAGATTTTCTTCATATTTAGAAAGGCAATTCACAGATTTAAGCAAACATTGATTTTTAAAACAAGAAACACTTTTCCTTCTGGATTTAATGCCAATAGTGCTCTTCCCATCGTTCATTTTTCCCAAACTTGAAATTGGATGAGAATACTTGGGAAGGTTTCTCATCCAAAAAGGTTTAACATTCGGGCTTCATTGGGGAAAAATGCTGCTGATGATTGCTTACTCCTGTTGCCAGTGAAGTTTTCATTACAACTTAAGATATTTACTATACACCCAGGAGAAATGTAGGTCATTCCAGCTGACAAGATTCAAGGTTAACTTTGAGAGCACCAGCTCCTGGCAGAAGGAGCTTATATCAACAGTCAACTTTGCCCATAAAAAAATTAGTCCATCTTGCCTAGATTTATTTGACAGGTCCTTGACATTGCTGTTCTCACCGTTGTGACAGAGTGTGCAATCCCAATAGCCAACTATTGCTAACGTTGATGAGGTTTAGTTAAGTTCTAACCCCAAGCTGATTAGCCATCTTTTCAGCAAAAGGGAACAAAGCAGTTTACTACACCGAGAAGCACCAGCCAATGCAAAAAGGTTTGCACTTTACCTGCAGGCTGTGGAGTCATGGTCTTTGGAGGCTGTGTTGTGGACCAAGTAGAATTGGAAAGTTCTGTACTCTGAGTCATTGTCACACTTGTGGTATTCTTTGGCATTGTCGCATTCATTGATACGGTAGCAGTTGCTGGCACTGTAGCATTTGTGCTGGCTTCACTGTTTGCAGATGTGTTGGCTGACGTAATATTCACTGGAGCCCAAGTAGATTTTTTAGTTGTGGAAAAGCCTGTTGACACAGTAACATTAATTTTCCCACTTGTGGCTGGTATGCTGGTTGATGCATTATGAGGTATGGTAGCGTTGGTCATGTGTTCTGGGGTTGAAGTTTGGGTGGTATTTACCGTTGTCTTTGTTGGCATCTCAGTTGTGGCTACCGTTTGAAGAGTTGAAGCCCCTGCTGTTGGAACTGTCATGCTAACTGGGGAATGCGTGGTATCAAGTGTTGCATTTGAGGAAGAGGTTTGCACTTCAGTTGTTTTTGTTTCTCCCTCAGTTGAAGATGATTTTGCACTAGTCACTGAAATATATGGGGTACTTGCTGAAAGACTTGTATCAGAAACTGGAGCAATGGTTGCCATGACAGTTACCTCAGAGGCAGAAATAGGTGCTGAGGTAGTGCTCTTGTCAACTGTACTTGGGTTTGAAGTTAATATGTGTTCAGTTGTCTGCGGTTTCGCTGCTGTAATGGAACTAGATGATGAGCTGGACATCACAGGAGTCGATTCTGTGGCATTTGTCCCTCCTGAAAGAAATCGTATCTCAAATTATAATTAAGTATTTTACCATTTTGAATTTGGACATCTCAGTTATGAGGAAAAACAGTTATGTTGGAGAGTAAAAGGGAAAAGAAAGACTTGGAGATAGCAAGAACTGCAGATGCTGGAGTCAGAGTCAATATAGTGTGGAGCTGGAGGATCACAGTAGGTCAGGTGGCATCAGAGGAGCAGGAAAGTTGACGTTTTGGGTTGATGAGGGGTCCCGACCCGAAACTTCGACTTTGATGCTCCTCTGGTGCTACTTGACTTGCTGTGTTCCTCCAGCTCCACACTGAAAAGAAAGACTTGTACTTACATAGTATTTTTCATGACCACCATTCATCTCAAAATGCTTCAGAGCCAATGAAAAGCTTTTTGAAATAAGTCACTGTTAAGTGGAGGTAACGTCGGTACAGGAAAATGTTTTATTTTGAGAGATGCATATGTGCTTTAAGATCATCAGTGCCCAATGGATTTGTAACATGGTTGGCACTGCAATAGTCTGAAGCAAGTCAGTAGGAACAGTATGGTACTGGGGCCTCTACGGCAGGGTGGTTCAGTGGTTACCACTGCTGCCTCATAACACCAGGGACTGGGGTTCAATTCCACCCTCGGACAACTGTTTGCGTAGAGTTTGCACATTCTCCTTGTGTTTGTGTGAGTTTCCTCCAGTTTCCTCTCACAATCCAAAGATGTGCAGGTTAGGTGGATTGGCTATGGGAAAATGCAGGGTTACATTGAAAGGGTAAGGGGTGGGCCTGGGTGGGCTGCTCTTCAGAGGGTTGGTGTGGACTCAACAGGCTGAATGGCTTGCTTCCACACTGTAGGGATTATATGGTTTATGCTGCACAAAAATATTCATTTGGTTGTTACTTTGTGTCAAGAAACTTTTGCCTAGATTTTGCCCAGCAAACCGCCAGCATACAACAATATCTGTATCTTGAGAAACCAACACCTACAGTGTGCATGTGTGCATTTTAATCATGGAAATTCAAATGTTGTCGTCAGTGATTTCTTGTTCCACCCTACCACGGGTACACTTTTGAAAAGCTGTAAAGCCTTTTAATGCCCTAATGCTACTGTTAAAAGCCTCTGAAAAAGTCATACCCTGTTCAGAAGATTTAATTGGGGTGTTCTTTTGGTACAGTGGTAGTGTCCTTATCTCTGAGTCAGGAGACCTGTGTTCAAGTCCCACCTGCTTCAGACACGAGTTGCAACAAGCCAGCAAATATATTAAAATAAGTTAACTGAGTTTTTATTCATTATATCATAACAATAATGAACATCATCTCTGACCCTGAAACATCAGTTTTATTTTGGTTTGGTGTTGATTTTTACTCCATGATAAAATTTAAATGGTTTAAAATAAGATGAAATATCAATCTTAAAATGTTTATGTGCCATCTCCGGATTGTTATCTGCAGAATCTAAAGAGTGTCAGACGATCAAACCATCTTTCTTCCTGGTCATGGAGAATTCATGCTAGTTGGTTACTTAACCCTATTTGATGATCCCATTGTTGCTGGATTTCCCAGGAATCCCCTTGACTTGGCACCAGATTCAAATTAACATCAGGACATCTCTGCTGCTGTAATAATTAGATTGTTGGGGGCATCTTTCTTTGGAGTTAGCACTTGAGTATTGTTGCTTTGCTACTGACCACAAGCACTACCATATTTAACTTTAATGATATACAAAATTTCACTTGAAAAGAAATAGAAGCTACAAGAATATTTTTGTTCACCAGATCCTTGATGCATCTTAAATGTAATTTGTACCTTACTTCTTCAACTAACAAGAAATATATTGAACAACATATTCCAAGATATGTGGTTAAAAAAATACACTTCAATATTAAGGCATTTGGCTTCATTTTAATAAAGTCATAACTGGTAAAATTTCAAATCTTTTGAAGATATCAATTTATTTATTTGTCCCTTCACAAGTGTTCCATACCCAGTTACTCACTTTTTTTCTGCAATATTTGCATTAATTTTTACACAAATCTCATTACTCTGTAATCCTAGAAGAATTTATTCTTGGCTGCCACCTCTTAATCAGCCTAGAGTTTGGCATCAACCTCCACAGACAAGGGGATAGTAGCTACAGAAATTGATGACACCTAAGACGTATCTCTACCAGTTTGTCCAGCAGTCTGTTTTGAGAAACTGATCACAATGAACCAGAATGTCTTACAAATAAGCATGGGCAAGATTGCAGTATTTGCCTTTAGCCTCTGCCACCAACACGCAGCAATGTCACTCATTTTGGCTTCCTCATAAGTGACCTTCATGGGGTGGACTAGACTATTTGCAGCGTTGTTGTTTACTCCAGTCCCAAGCTGAGCTTCTAGAGCAATATCTTCTCTGTCTATTATTGCCTGATCAGGTGATGCAGTTTATTACAGTGGACTCTGCATAATGTAGTTTCATTTGCATTGTAGTTTGCTTGCTCCTGTCATATCTGGACATCTGCTTTACTGAAGACCAAGGTTAAAAACATTTCTAACTTGTTCAAAAGGAAACAGGTTTATGCGAAGTATAGGAAGGCTGACGTTTCGGGCCTAGACCGTTCATCAGAAAATTTTCTGATGAACGGTCTAGGCCCGAAACGTCAGCCTTCCTGCTCCTATGATGCTGCTTGGCCTGCTGTGTTCATCCAGCTCTACACCTTGTTATCTCAGATTCTCCAGCATCTGCAGTTCCTACTATCTCTTATGCGAAGGATACCCTTTTGAAAGTGTTGCTTACACTTAAAATGACAATTTAATTGATTAATTCTTATTTTGCTGTGTCAAAGCATTGTTAGTTCTTCTACATTTGTCTTGCTGTAAATTGAATGAACTAACTGATGTACAAGGTGAAGAAATGATTTGAATGACTTTGTTGGTAAATTTTGCAGTACTTGAACATTTAAGAATGGTAGTGTCAAGAGATTAGATTGCTTTGCTCTCTCCTGGTTATACTTACAGCATTTCTTTTATGCAACAAAACTTTATGACTTTGCCCACGAAGCAATACCTACTGTGTATGATGCATTTACATCTACCTCTACTGGCTAACTGTATTTAAAGCTGAAGTTTTTCTTAAACAGAGAAAAGGTGACAAAACTGAAGCAAGCATAACTTAAGTTCTCAAAAGCAGCCACATTTGTGCTTATAAGAAGAATCATAATGAAAATACGTTAGTGCTGTATTTCACCATTCCAGCTATCACATTACAGTATTCCTATAAAAGCCTGCTGAGCTAGTGTGCAAGAAACTCAGACAAATACAATGACAAAGGTGATAGTTACACAGAAGTATTAAGTTTCGCCATTGTTTCAGGAATGTGTCCTTGCTTCAAGATCTGGGTACATGTTTGACAGTGCGCTTGGATTAACCGTTTAGTAATTGCGGATACTAAGGTTATCTAATGCCTCCATAAATGCTTTCTTCAGTTTTTAAACAAAGAAATGATGCATTATAAACCTGTACAAAATGAATGCAACACATTACACAAATAATGAAGCAAGCAAACAGTTAAATATTTACAGCTGAAAGTCTTCTATCCAACATAGAAGATAAAGATTATAAACAAGGTTAAGTTAAATTTTAACAAAATCTTTTCAATGCACATTTTCCTTCCTCTTTGTTAACTTGCCTTCTGAAGATTTGTAAGCATATTTAATATTATAGGAAGATATTTTCTAACTACCTAATTGCTCAATTTATACATGCTCAATTTCTCTCTTCTATTTAGAAAGACATGCCTAGCAGGACACCTAGATTTTGAATATTCAAATATCTCAATTTCAAAATCAGGATAGTCCAGTTGGCATTTAACTAAACCAAATCATACAGAATAATTTTAAGCTTGAATTATACCACGCTCAAACTTGCAACTGATAAAACTTGTACAATGGACAGGCTTGGAAACAAAATTTCTGATCTGAGTCAATTTACTTAAATTCCAAATGCATTATTATCAAATGTTTAAGAGACACAGCAACCACCATAAAGAACTGTTCTCACAGTGGGGCACTGAATTTAAAAAGCAGTATTATCAAGGATTAGCTTCCTTGAAATGTCTATGTAAAGGCTAATACCACAAGGTTTTTTTTTGGGTTGCAGGATGTATAAGAAAGAAAGAGTATTTTGGTGGCAATATTTTTACAAGACAATAATCATCTCATTCACAAGCATAAAGTTAAAACAGTAAATAGCCATACTTTATAAAAAAGAAACAAGACAAAACAAAAAAAAGTGACCATGTTACAAAAATACATTTGATGTAATGGTTTCAATTGATGCTGTGCAAACAGTTTCACCGGTGCTGAGTAAGTGCAACTTAGAACTCCAAACAACTGAAACAATGGCAATACTACATAAAGAAATCCATTTGGTTTTTAAAGACAGGGGACAATGGTAACAGAGATTATCTCTCTACTTTGGGAGCCCAACATTCTTCCAGCCAGGATTGACCTGCGTTTACAAACAAATTTGTAAAGGATGATGTTTCAGTGGCTCTTAATAACAGAATAGTTAGGAGTTAACACGAATCAGAAGGAACAAGCAAACACATTCAAATATATAGAGCTGTGTTTAAAGAGCTCATAAAAGCTAAGGCACAGAAAATTTTACACTGAAATCACCAGCCACCATCTAAATGAGCAAGACTAGACAGACAGGCATTTTTATCTTCTTCTCGTTTAAGTTTCTCGAATGCCAAATTTTATCATGGGTTCTTGCAGTGTGTTGTCAATTGTAGCTCAGTGGGTATCACCCTCACTTTGGAGTCAGATGTCTTTGGGTTCCTGCTACACTGTCAGATGCTGACTTTCAGATGAAATGTTAAAATGAGGTCCTTTCAAGGGGCATCAATGTTGCCATGGCACTATTTCAAAGACAATCTAAGGAGCTATCCCTGGAGACCTGTTAATATTTATTCTTCAATATACACCACACACGGATTATCTGATCATCATTGTTTGTGGGGAGCACATAATG